CTGACGCCAGCGGTGCTGCCCACCCCTTTTGGGTGGGTGCCGCGCCTCGCCCGCGATAGCCGCCCTCAGCGAGGCGGCCCACCGCAGGGCCCGTGCAGAGCGTGCCTGGTCCAGGACGCTCCTCAGGGTCCACAAGGCCACGGCCACGCTCGCGGCGCACCACGCATCGCCGAGGAGGTCACGTTCTCCCACCCCACCGTGGGCACAGTACCGCATGGGACGAGGCCGTGGCAAGGGCGACGGCGTGCCAAAGGGGGGAGGCCAGAAGGGAGGCGGCAGGTCCAAGTCTGACGGCCGCAAGGGCGCGGCGCAGAAGGCAGTGACCCCGACGACGGCCTCCCACTCGTGGCTGTGCCCCATATGCTCAGTGCCAGTTTCGCTCAATCATAGTTGGTGCTGGCAGTGTGGCAGTCATTTCTCGCAGCAGCCAGATGCAGGGCATGGCGCGGCCATGTCAAAGCAAGGTGCCCGAGCTGGATCAGACACGGGGAACTCCAAGGAGAATGACACCCAGTCGGTTGGCCAGCTCATCAACATGTTCCAGAATTCGCTTGATTTGCTGAATAAGGGGGGTCCACAGAGTCCACTACTAAGGCGAAGGAGGCGATCACAGCTATGTCGACAGAACTCCGTGGCAAGAGAGACCTTCGCAAGACCACAACCCAGCGAGCTCAGCAGTCGTTCCACAGGGTGTAGAAGCAGCAGAAGGTTGTGGCCCAGACAAAGCATCATATTGATGAGCAGCAGGCGCTGCTCAGGGACCCTCTTAACTGCAGAACGGACTCGCCAGAAGATTACGCAGCTGGAGACCGCCCTGTCGGAGGCGGAGAACACGCTGAAGGAGCACACGCAGCAGCATCAATATCAGGTGCAGCAGCAGCTCCAGGCGCCGACGTCCGAGGAGTCTCCCGCGACGGCGACATCGGGAGCACTCCAGCTCGTCCAGATCCGCGCGGCGCTGGACGGGATGGGCGTCGACAGTAGCCCAGCGCTCGGCCAGGCTTTTGTAGCTTTTGCCAACGCCTATAACTCCCATCAGGCTCAGGCCGCCGCGATGGGAGCAGCAGCGCCGTCTGGCGCAGCAGGGGCAGGGGGGCAGGCTTTGGAGCGGCCCTCCTCGGGCAAGGGGAGGCCCCTGGCAGGCCAGGCGGTCCGCCTTTCGGCGGGGCTGCCCATCTCGCTCTGGAGCCCGCTGCTGCTCCCCGACCCCCCACCCAGCAGCCGCCGCTGCCATTGGCCACCGCCGCGCCTGGAACCCCAGCAGCGTCGGCGGTGGGTTCTTTCCAGCCCGCTCATGCAGTCGGCGGCATGAGGGTGGAAGGGGATCGGGGAGACCACCGCTCACTTCGTTCGCGTTCCTCCAGGGCCTCGGGGTTTCCCCGCGTGGGGCACAAGGAGGGCCCCCCCACCGCCCTCAGGAGCCCCCCGCGCGGACCAGCGCGGGGATGGTGATGGGTGATGATATTTCGAGTTCGGATACCGTGGCCCAGGTGAGTACCTTGTCGGGACCTCTGGGGCCTCGGAAAGCCAGATCTGTTTTTTTTGCCTTCTGCACAAATAATGGCTCGCGCTTCCAGTCAGCATTTCAAGCCCTGCAATGCCTCTCTGTTGAATGCCAGGTAGTGTTCTTGCAGGAAACGAGGGTCACTGTTCAACAGCTCCTGGAGGCCAAAGATAAGCTCTTTAAAGCAGGATGGGCTTCGTTCTGGGGGTCGTGCACCGTCAGTGCCCAGACGGGTAAATGCTCCGCTGGCGTGGCTGTCCTGGTTCGGAGGTATCTGGGTTTCTGGGAGGACCCGCTGGAAGTACCGAGAGCCTTTAGGTCCCGAGTGGCCTCATGCTTTTTGAGAACCAAACAGTATGGGGTCGTCTATTTGGTTTCCTCCTATTTCGTTGACCCCATTGGTCTGGGAGCTGAAAATGTTCGGCTCGCACAGTGGATTGGCAGTCGGGTGACTTCGCTCGGCTTACCTTTTGTGATTGGCGGCGATTTCAACATGGCGCCAGAGTTGCTTGCAGTTGGATTGCCACCGCAGAAGCGCGGCGGCGCAGTGCTGCACCAGGAGGGGGTCCCCACTTACGTCAGCGGCCCGACGAGTACCACCATCCACTTTTTTATAGTGGCGCGGACCTTTTTGAGATGCGGCCCAGATGCTCGGGTTATCTTGGACTCTGAGCTATCACCGCATCGACCTGTCGTATTGAATCTGTTATGGGATACTACACAGGCTAGGGTGCGGAAGCTCCTGCCCTTTCGAAAAAGTCCCTGTGGGCATGCCCACGGGGGCCCCTCCTCTGAAAGGGACACAGAGTAGCAGTTGTTTATGCAGTACAGATCTAGGGGCTTCTCTGTGAGGTCATGGTCTGCCGTGTTCTGTGACCGCCGCCCACTGGCTCAAGGTGTGGGTGGGCGGGCCTGTTTTATCTAGGCAGCTGACTGCAGCTGCACAGATCGCGCTGCTGGGGCCGCGATCGTCTCAGGAGAGCAAAAGGTGCTCATCAAGTGGACAAGGATTCTGATTTACCTGTAAATCGTGAACATCAGTTTTGGACATCCCCGGAGAGAGAGGTGTGCAAGTTTGAGAACTTCAGAGACCTCTTGAGGCTCTACGGGATTCAGATTGGTAGCGGAGCCTGTGGTAACCGCACCACGGGCTCCCACCAGACTCGTCACGATGACAACGCCAACAGGGACATCGGCACCATCACGAGTCGAGGTACCATCCTGGAACGGCGAGGCAGAGAAGCTGTCGAACTACCGTTTCGAGGTGTCGATGTTCGTGAAGAGCATCCGAGTGAACGACCGCTACGTCTGTGGACCACAGCTGGTCCGGGCGCTTGGGCCGCGGGTTCGGAATGCCGTGGAGAGCTGCCCCTCGATCAACGACGTAGACGAGGTGGATGACAACGGAAAGTTGGTCGGCTGGGAGAGGGTGTTCAGCTATGTGCTTGAGAAGTTGGACGACACCAGCCTCAACGACACAGGTCTTCTGGCCGAGGAGTTCTTCTTGAAGATATGCCGCAATTCTGGAGAGACCTTCCGGGGCTGGGCGGCCCGGTTCGAGAAAAAGGAGAGGGACCTGCTGACCCAGCTGCAGGCCATCGACCCAGACGTGAAAGAAGTAATAGCGAAACCTCTTCGGACATAGTGGTTCCTGCGGAAGTCGAGACTCACCCCCGTGCTCAGAGGGGAAGTGACGGCGTCCGCGGGAGGTGTCTTCAACTACGGAAAGACCTACAAGACGTTGCTCACGCGCTTCCCAGCGGAGGCTCTTGCGGAGCTGGATGGCAAAGTCAAGCGCGAGCGGGCGTTGTTCGAGGACGACTTTGAGGAGGACGAGGGCGAGACTGGTGGGGAAGCAGAGGAGATCTACGAGCTGGCCGAGCAGCTCCTCAACCTTGCGGACGAGGACGAGGAGGTGGAGCCCGACGACTTGGAGGCGGACAACGAGGTGTTCGCGCAGTTTCGCCAAGCTGGCCGGAGCTTCAAGGATGCCAGGGATCTCCTCCGACAAGTACGAGTCGCCAGGGACTACTGCCCAGCGGTGGTTCCGCGAGAAGATGGACGACAAGCTCCACCGCCGAAGCCTCACGCGGAGCGGCGGCCCCGAGGACAGGCTAAAGGACGTGGACGCGGACAACAAGATCGACGAGTTCGCTTCGAAAGTGCGCGAGATCTGTCCAAGATGAAGTGCATCGTGTGCAGACAGTTCGGACATCGAGCTCGAGACTGCCCTGGCCGTGGCAAGGTCGGGAGTGGCACCACTGGAGGTACGACTAACACGCACAACGGCTTCATCTTGTCGGCCCTGGACGAGTACGTCTACCTGCTTGAGCGCGAGGGGATCTGGGCCGTGCTGGACATTGGAGCTACGCGCAGTCTTGGTGGCGTCGAGAGCGTAGAGAACCTCATGTACGAGATGATGGTGAACCACGACGTGGAGTTCGAGGCGCACGACGAGACTTGCTCCTTCACTTTCGGCGGCGGGCTCCAGAAGAGCTCGATGGGAACGGTCTCTGGACGCGCCTACCTGGGACCGGAGCTCCGAAACATCAGCCTCTCAGTGATGGCGAACCGCGTCCCCATTCTCCTGGGCATGGACATCCTGACGGACGACTTGAAGGTAGTGGTCCACTGCGGCCGCAACTGGATCGGGTTGCCGACGCTGGGCAACAAAGTCTACTACTGCGAGAGGCTCTCGAGCAAGCACCTGGCGATCAATCTCTCGACACCGCAGTGGTGGCGCGAGGTCTCTCTACCCTTGTCCCCGGAGAGCTGCCACGTCAACATGACAGGGCGGGACTCCATCGTGCTGGGCGAGAAGCCGGAGGAGCCCGTGACGGGCTGCGCTGGCTGCCTCACCGCGCGCTAGGGACAGCACCCCCTGGTGATGTCGGCGAGCGAGATATCATCTCCATCGTCATCCTCATCATCGGGGGGGCCAACAGAAAGATGCTCACAGAGCCCAGGTTCTTTTCCCAGTCCAGGAGACCGCCGCGCCCAGGGAACCTCGATGACCTCGAGAGGGTCCACATCTCCAGGAGAGACCTCGAGCCAGCCCCCTTCGAGCCGACCGAGAGCGACGCAAAGTACCACCGAGAGAAGACCCACGACATCTCAACGTTCGAGCAGCCCGAGACCGATGACGACCAGGGGTTCGAGTGGGACAAGGTGGGGGGCACTCTCGGGACCGTCAGGGGCGACGCGGAGTCCGAGTACTCGGGGGAGCTCTTGGACACTCTCGGGGACTTCGGAGGCGACGAGAGGTTCTAGTACGAGGGAAAGATCTAGGGGGACCCAGAGGACAACTAGGGTGAGCTTCGGGTGACCTACCGAGGGAAACGAGATGCACCTGCCAGAGGAGAACCCCGAACAGAACCCCAAGAAGCCAAATGGTATTCCTCCGCCCCGTGTGGCCCAAAAATGTTGCGCAGGAACTTCCGAGATTCCCAGCAGCTCAGCTTTTCCATATCCTACATGTCAGAACGCGTCTGATGTCATGTGGAGACTTTTCTTCGCGACAGCAGCCGCCGTCGGCGCGACCAGAGTGGGCGCGTCCGAGGACTCGGGCAGGATCCTCGCCTGCCACGCCGACGCCAGCCCCTTCGACAGCGGGCTCAGCACCGACAACACCTCCACAGCAGATGCCGATCAACAGTCCAACGGGATCACCAGTGCAGTACCAGCCACCCGGACGATGCCAGTGCTGCGGAGCTGTGGGACGGACTCGGAGGGGATGCAGCTGCAAGGGCGGCACATCCCACTACTGCCTCCAACTCCAGGCACGGCATGGACCTCATCCTGCATGGCCACCTGCTGCCCTACTTGCGACGCCTCCCGAAGTGTTCCTGGAGGGGGGCTCCCCGGTGCCGGCGACCCCATCAGCAGGACCACCGCTGCAACCACCGCCACCACCTCCGACACCACCGAGCTCAACAGTTCGATCGAGGTGCTCATGCTGCAAGGCGCCCAACCGGGCGATCACGGGATGCAGTTGCCGCGGAGGAAAGAGTCATCGATGCCTACGCTTGCATCCGGACGACTCGACCTCGGAGAGGGAACCCCACCGCGAAGCGCTGGGGGACATCCGAAGCCAGGCCGCGGCGGTGCGGTGGCGGCGTCTGGCGTCGAAGCTGGCGAAGTGCGACCCCGCAGGGCCCTGGGTGTTTCTGCCAGTGCCGGGCGACAGCCTGCTGGACGGTTCGGAGGTGACGGAGACCGTGAAGAAGCCGGGCCGTTGAAGTCCCTGAATGACTCGGATCTTACCGCGTTCTACCAGGCGCAGACCAAGGTGATGGACCAGATCTACTTCGAGATTGGCGAGGACACCGTCAACCTGACCAAGACCAAGCGCGCAGACCTCATGGAGGTGTGCTGCCCGAGCGAGTCGTCGCTCGGCAAGGCGGTGGAGGCGCAGCACGGCAGGGCGATACGGTGTGGGATCTTCAACGGCTATGACATGGGCACGGCCACTGGAGTCCGCAGGGCCATGCATCTCCTTCGACTGGCACGACCTCGACGGTTGGTGTTAAGCCCTCCGTGCACCGCAGATTGTCCCATCCAGAACCTGAACCAGAAGACGGAGAACCAGAGGAAGCAGCTCTCGACCAAGATCGGACAGGCGCGCAGGATCCAGCGGGGGTGTCTGGCCTTGTACGAGGAGGCTAAGAAGATAGTTGATTGCCACATCGAGCTAGAGCAGCCCTGGAACAGCCGCAGTTGGTCGAAATCACCCTCCATCATGAAGATGCGGTCAGAGATGTACGAGGCGATCATTCATGGGTGCGCCTACGGACTTCGCGACGAGAGGTCTGGACTCTTGGTGAAGAAGGGGTGGCGAGTGTGCTCTACTGACCCCGACTTTGGAGCAAAGATGGGCCGGCTCTGCAGCAACCGACCGGGACGCGGAGACAGCCATCTACATCGTGTCATCGAGGACGGTCCTCTGGTGGCTCAGACAGCCTTCTATCCCCCTGCCATGTGCCGAGCCTGGGCCAAACATATCCTCGAGAAGAACGTGACTTCCGAGTACGGCAAGGAGGTCTACGCGGGCCTGAAGCAGATCCCAGAGGAGGACGACGTCGAGATGTCGGTCGAATTAGAGGAGCTGAACACGGAGGAGGACATCGAGATGGAGACCGCCGAGGCGTCCCTCAAAGGCTTGGGCGTCAAAACGGAGCTGTCAAAGAAAGAGATCTCAGAGATCGAACAGAGACTCGCGCGACTTCATCGCAATCTAGGCCACCCCAGCAACAAGACACTCTACAAGATTCTCAAGGCCTCTGGAGCAGCGGCCTCTGTACTCCGACTGGCACTTCAATTTCAATGCCATGGCTGCCATATCGGGAAGCTCCCCAAAGCTGTACGAGTGGCCTCAGGCGTGGAGATTCCGAGCGTGCTAGAAGTCCTCGCCACGGACGGACTGGAGTGGCTCTCACCTCAGCAGACCTCCCACATCATGACCCTGAACCTCGACGAGGGGTCCGGCCTCACCAGCGTCACCTACCACGGGCAGAAGGGAGAGCGCAGCGGCAACCGATCAGCCGTCGAGGTGATCTCTACGTGGGAATCGTGGTGCAGTCACTACCGTCAACCTGCCCTCCTTCGCATGGACCCTGAAGGGTGCCACTGCTCCCAGACAGTTGCGAAGTGGGCATCTGACCATGGGATCGAGATATGGATTGCACCTGGGGAGGCGCACTGGCTCATGGGCAAGGTGGAACGTCGCATACAGCTCTTCAAGCGCCTCATGACGAAGATGGCCACCCACGACCCCGATTGCAGCACGCAGGAGCTGGTCACCTGGGCCGTGAGTGCGATCAACTCCATGGACAAGGTGGGGAACCACTCCCCGTTCGAGCACGTGCTGGGCGTAACAGGGTTGGCACCCACGAACAACCCCTTCGCCATCATCGACGGAGACACCGGCGAGACACAGGAGCAGCGGCGACTTCTGGCCCGCCAGAGCTACCTCGAGTGCGAGTACGCAGAACGGCGACGCCATGCAGAGCAGGCCAGGAACCGCGTCTACCAGACCTGGGAGGCCGGCGACCTCGTGTACTTCTGGCGTGACGGCAAGGGACGGGAGAACCGACCTGGCAAGAAAGGAGGTTGGTATGGACCTGCACGAGTACTTGTCCAAGAGAAACGGCATATTGACGGCCGCACTCGGGTGACCTCGGTCGTCTGGATCGCCCACGGGAACACGTTGATCAGGTGCGCACCCGAGCATCTGCGACCAGCCTCCGAAGCCGAGAAGATGCTGACTGAACTCAAGAAGCAGGCCTCCCTCGGGAAGACCATGACAGAGATCCTGGAGACCGCCAAGCCTGGGACGTTCGAGGACCTGGTGGAGCAGCGCCGTCCGGACCTCACAGCGTACGAGCCCCCGAGGACCACCGAGGCGTTCCAACCAGGAGATGGGGCAGAAGCGCCACCTGCCGCTGCCACGGAGGAGGAAACGAATGTACCGGAGTCGAGCCACACTACACCGAGGTCCATGGCTCAACCTGAAGCTGAACCAGGCGAACCCTCCGAAGACGCTCAGGACCTGGAGATGGTACCACCGCAGGAGCAGAGATACCTCAACCACCTCCGCCATTGACCCTGCCTCCAGCCGAAGCCCCAGCCACTGGAGGAGCAACGCCAGCCGCACCAGGGGAACCTTCTGCGTCGTCATCGTCAGCGCGCCCTCGGTACCGCATGACACATCGCGGACCGGAGCTGGACCTCTATCAGCCGCCGGAGAAGCGTCGGAAGGATAACAACGACATGGACGAGAGCGAGCTCTGGGTGGACCTTCAGAAGGACGACCTGGACATTCTCCTGGGGGTAGACGAGCATCAGACAGTCTACTTCGAGTACATCAAGAGTGAGGGGGCCGACAGGAGCGCCGACAAGCGCACGATGGAGGCAGTTCCCTACAGCTTCGTCGCCAACCAGCGCCGGAAGGACAAGCTCGAGCTCACATGGTCCAAGATGAATGCATCCGAGAGGGCAGAGTTCGAGGTAGCTATCTCTAAGGAAACGGACAACTGGCTTCAGCACCGTGGACTCCGACCAGTACCAGCGTCTGAGGTCAAGGACAGTGCCGACATCATCCGGGCGCGGTGGCTCTTCTCGAGGAAGGCGGACGGCAGGGCCAATGCGCGACCCGTGCTCCTCGGCTACCAGACGAAGGACCTCGGGAAGGAGCCTACGGCTAGCCCAACTGCATCTAGGCGGGCTCGCAACGTGATGCTCACTATCGCGGCTGCGCACAACTGGAAGCTGATCAAGGGCGACGTCACCACGGCATTCCTGCAGGCGAACGAACTGGAGAAGGACTTGTTCATCGAACCCGACGCCGTGCTGAAGAAGGCCTTCAAGGTGAAGGAGGGCGAGCTCCTACGCGTCGTCAAGCCCGGGTACGGCATCGGGGAGGCCCCACGTCACTGGTGGGAGACGGTGAAAGTCGATTTCAAGAAGCTGGGACTGCAGCCTTGCGAGCTGGAGCCGTGCATGTGGCAGGTGCGGTGCCCACAGACCAGACGCCTCATCGGTATGGTCATGGCGCATGTGGATGGCTTCATTCTGGCAGGTGGTACAACACACCCCAAGTGGACCAACATCGTGTCTCAGACCCGGAAGCTCTACAAGTGGGGCACCTGGGAGGACGTGAACGACGGTATCACCAGCCTGGAGCAGTGCGGGGTCACCATCGAGGAGAACGAGATGGGGTTCTTCCTGCACCAGCGCGCCTACGCCGACAAGATCGCCGAAGTACGGCCACCTGATGGCGGACGGCACCGACCGACAGATAAACTGCGCGACAAGGACCAGACCGTGCTGCGTGCGTTCTGCGGGGAGGTCTACTGGCTGGGTGTCAACACCATGCCCTTCCTATTCGCGTGGGTCGCCGAGCTCCAGTCGAAGATTCCTGAGGGCACCCACAGTCTGTTCTCTGCCGCCAACAACATCGTCAAGCTGATCAAGCAGAATCAACACATGGGACTCCAGGTCCACCGCCATGACCTGGACGACCTGGCCGTCTTCACGTGGTGCGATGCCGCCTGGGCCAGTCGGCCAGATGGTCATTCACAAGGAGGCTACATCACCGCCATTGCAGCCACAAAGGCCATGGACGGCGAGAAGTCGCAGTTCACCGTGCTCGACTGGGGCTCCAAGAAACTTCGACGCGTGGCCCGCTGAAGCCTGGCCGCAGAAGTTCAGGAAGCTGGAGATGCTGAAGGCGAACAATGCATGGTGCGGATGGTGCTGGCTGAGATCCTGCTAGACAAGTCTCCCGTCCAGGAGAAGATGACGATGCTCCATCATTTGCTGGCAGTGTTGGTCACGGACTGCAAGGCGTTCTACGACGGGGTGGTACGGTCGCAGTCGGCCGGACTCGGGCTCGAGGAGCGACGTGCAGCAATCGAGGCCCTGGCTCTTCGGAACGCCCTCGATGAAGGAAAGACCGTGGTCAGGCGGGTGCACTCTCACGCGCAGATCGCGGACGGGCTCGCAAAGGGCAACTGGTAAGCATTTGGGGTCCTCAAGCTGTTCCTGGAGAAGCAGGAGTGGAGGCTCATATACGACGAGAACTTCATGAGTGCTCGGAAACGGGCCGCCATCGGCAAGGGCATCTTCGACACTACGAAGCCCGAGGGCGCTGTGGCCGCCAAGAAGGTCTTCGAAGAGCGCCGGAAGTCCAGGCAGCAGCAGGAACTCTCCAGGGAGATGCAGACCGAGGATGGCAACGTGACGCCGAGCAGCTCTCGGCTGGGTCAGGGCGACCCCGTGAACACGGCAGCTTCTTTTCCGCCTGTCTGAAAGGGACACAGAGTAGCAGTTGTTTATGCAGTGCAGATCTAGGGGCTTCTCTGTGAGGTCATGGTCTGCCGTGTTCTGTGACCGCCGCCCACTGGCTCAAGGTGTGGGTGGGCGGGCCTGTTTTATCTAGGCAGCTGACTGCAGCTGCACAGATCGCGCTGCTGGGGCCGCGATCGTCTCAGGAGAGCAAAAGGTGCTCATCAAGTGGACAAGGATTCTGATTTACTTGTAAATCGTGAATATCAGTTTTGGACATCCCCGGAGAGAGAGGTGTGCAAGTTTGAGAACTTCAGAGACCTCTTGAGGCTCTACGGGATTCAGACCTCCCCAGCCCCCAAGGTATGCTGAGGTGATTGTGAAACTACAGAGGGCCCTGGAGCACCACACGCACCCCGAAGGGGTAGGTTATTTGTCGCCCACCAAGAGATCCGAGCATGACATCCTACAGACACGCCTGGACGAGTGCTACCAGCACTGGGTCAGCCTTTCGGTCTCCGAGCTGAGAGACATCCATCAGTGCGACGGAGTGGACTTGCCGTCCGTCTGCATGGCTGGTGGCCAGTATCGTTTCAAGCAGGTGAAGGTGAGCACGCTGTTCCCCACTAAGGACTCCAAGAGGACCAGCCCCGCGCGCGCTCTCTTGTGGGCCTCTAACAGGATTCGTGAGCTCATGCACCTTCACCTGCGCTTTCCTGACGCGGCGGAGTCTGTCTATTTCAGCAAACTCTTGGATCACACTATTGGGCTAACGGAGTCTGGAGGCCCCTTCAGAGTTCACTGGAAGGAAGGTTGACTTTTGTGGCATGTTCATCTGTCTATCCTGGCCAGACGCCCCAAACAGCATCCTGGAGTATTCTGGTTTGCGGCTGCTTCGGAGCTTTCGGAATGGGCAGATCATGCTGAAAGACTTCATCTTGATCAACTACCCAGGGATAGGGCCTCCCAGAGGGCTTCTTGGGGCGAATGGTGTGAGGGGGCCCTCGAGGGCGGGGCTAGATGGGCGCGTGCCTACTCTAAGCTTGCCAAGGATCACGCCTTTTGCCCAGTGGAGACCCTCGAGGGGCCCTCAGCCGCGCTGCAAGCAAGGCTTGCGCAACAGGTATCCATTTGGTCGCAGGCGTGGAACGCCCGCGCTTCCCCGAGGGTCTCCTTTCAGCCGTTGGGCAATGAGATTATCCCATCGGCCCCGTCGGCAAGCAGGCTGCGCGAATTGTCAAAGGAGCCTAAGACCAACACGATTGCGACCGAAGGAGTGCACCCACGGCATTGTTCTCAACTGTCGGAGCAGGCCTTGGAAGGTCTACGTCTGCTGTACACGGTTATGTTTGTCCTGGGTGGTTCGCCGACGATGTTGCAGGCCCTCAGAGTTCAGCTGTTTGCTAAACCCACGGGAGGGCAACGACCCTTCGGTTTTTTTTTTTTCCAGAGCTTTCAACGACTTACAGCAAGGTTTTGAGCGAGCATGCGGCCTCTTGGGAAAGGGAGTTGGGTAGCGACTCGTATTTTTATATGGCACCGCATCGACACCACGGGCGGCGTCTGGAGAACCCAAGTGCAAGCATGTTTGGCTGATCATCTTGGTCGCGCTGCTCTTACTGTGCTGGGGGGCCTCAGACAGTGTTATGATCATGTCGACCATAGAGTCGTTCAGAGGGAAGCAGCGCTGGCAGGCTACCCACTTTTCGCGCCCAGGGCGGCGTTGCACTCATACCTCTGGCCCAGGTTTCTGGTCTTGGATGGTGCAGCCTCTGAATTTATCAACCCTGACCGTGGGTTGGTGGCAGGCAGCTCCACAGCAACGTACGGGGTGAAATGCCTCATGCTGCCAGGTGTCCTCGAGCTCGTGCCGCAGCTAGAAAATTGCGATATGGGCATTTTTGTCGATGACACGGCCTTGAATATTGTAGCAGCTAATCAGGACAAGTGCATAGCTTCCCTCATCGCGGCTTTCCCCCAGGTCATCTCCCTCTTCCAGGACAGGCTGTAGCTCAATTTTGCTATGGGTAGGTTCTGCACGACGGCTAACACCCTTGAGTTGCTCCAGAAGGCCCAGGAGGTCCTTGGGAGGTGGTCTGGCTCGGCTGAGCCCACTATCAAATGGCTAGGCGTGGACTATTCCGCTGGCTGTCGGCCCCATGCGGCCAAACGTACTCGGATGACTCGGAAGGCACGTTGGAAGGCTACTCTCAGAAGGCTACTCTCAGGGGGCTCCCCAAGGTCAAGTCCATCCGCGCGAAGAAGGCCCAGAAGCGGACCAAGCTGTTTTTCTGTGGTTTACTCCCGTCCACCCAGTACGGCCAGGACGTCTCGGGCAACCGCCCTCAGGAGCTGCTACGTCTCAGGTCGGAGGGAGCCAGGGCTCTAGGCATCGCCAGCGCGGGTAGCAACCCTGATATCTCTTGGGCCCTGTGTACCGCCAAGGACCCCCTGAGGCAGGCCTCGGCGTCGCTGAGGCGTCTCGCGCGGGAATGGTGGTACGCGAGCCCAACCTGAGAACTTTTGATGGTTTGAGCCCTGGTACCCTCAGTTTGGCCACGGCGGCCGTTTTGAAGGATCTGCAGGATCTCATGTCCGCCAGTCGGGCCAAGAAGTCGCGTGGCCCCCTGCACGACGCCTTCTTGTGGATCGGCGAGGCAGGGTGGGCCCACCGCTCACCAGGCATTTTGAAGATGAAAGGTGGCAGCCTCACCAGCCTGACAGAGCAGTCGCCTGCCAAAGTTGCCAAGGTCTTCGAGGCTGACCTTTTGGGGGTCTATCTTTCACGTGCAATGGCTAAGCTCCTGGAGGGAAACG